CGGCAGCGGTACTGATCGAAACCAGTTAGATAGTACCGAATCAACCGGTAGATCGACATGAGTAATTTTTCTCTTTTCTCATCTTATAAGAGTCAAATGAACACCGGTTAGCCATATATATCTTTAAGTCACTGTAGAAAGTACGTAAGACTCTTGCGTCATTATTACAGTACGTTTATGAAGCATGAATGTTAATGAGTATTGAAGTAGATAACGAGAAAATTGAACGCATAGTGCAGTTTACTCTAAAGACTTCAAAGACTCCAACAGACAGCCTGTGATAGAGATGTCGATACGTCTGTATTAGTCTGCCATATAGATGATAAGAGTTCTCACAATATTTATATTAGCTTCATGGTGTTTAATATTTTAATCCAGTACAGATTGCGCTGAAAGCTTTTTCTTCGCTATGTATTTCTATAAGTTTTCTCTCTTGGCATCTACCGATGGGTAGATCATTTTATTTTATAAGGATACAAATTCTATACTAGCTTTGCACACCAAGTAAATATTCGTCAGACATAGAAACTATGAATCAACTGCATGTCTACTCTACTTCTCATAATAGATTTACATTGTTAACTCTTATCTCTCTGCGAAAGATATGGTATAAATAACACGAAACGGAAATAAATGTATGATACATCACTATAATGAACAGTGATTCCATTTTGTTTCGAAAATATAACGTGATATCAGAGAGACTTGATAAACTATATTAAACGAATTTTGATGAATATGCACTTAGTACAAAATATTCAATGCATATTATCTCGTGGAAATAGTCATTTAACATCAGTAAGAAATATTTTTATTTGTAAAAGCCACTTCTACAATCATTTTTTGAAAAAAGAATGGCAAAACTCGAAATAATCCAACCAGCCGGCAACGAATCCTCCATTGAACTGAACCGGGCCACCATTTACGTTACTGGTTACAATTCTTAGATGACACAATCTAAGCAATACCACTGCAAGTGTCTAGATTAAATATCTGTAATCTGTAGCTAAAATTTATTTTTACAGATTCAATGGAAGGGATCCAATCTCTTATTCAGCAATGAATTGGACCAAGAAATTCATTTTAATATGAAAAGAATATAAACATGACATTCCTATTTTTGGAATAAAAAGTGGCACAAATTTTATTTTTACCAGAAAAGTATATAAGATTGAAATAAGTGTTCGCATCGATGTGATCCAACACTATTGAAAACTATATACATTATTTTTATATTAAAATCAACCTCCTGCTCTTATGTATCGAGACATCAAACTAAATTTCGATGTAATTTTTTTCATAGTTATTTCAATTTCCTGAAAATAAGAGAGAACCATCTCATGTTTAGGTCGCCACTATTTCATAATAGCGTGAGTCGTCTCAAGAATCACATCCATACCAACACCCGAGTAGTACATGCATGGTGGAGAGAAGTATATGAATTCATAACAGTACAAATTGTAATTATATTCGCGCATCTCTGTGCAAATTGACTGATTTAATTCTATTGAACTTACCTCTTTTTCTATTAATCAGAAATACTATAAATTAACAAATACACCTAAAGATAGGAATACTTATTTTCTTGAATTTGTACAGTCGTCTCGTTTAGATTTTCGTGGATGACGAGTACGTTTTGAATCGAATTCAAAGAGATTGTATTTCGAAAGATATGAGAGGATAGACGTTGTTTGTGATAGCAAAAGTTTCATTAAATACTTTCTCGATCGAAAGAAGCATTACTACACAATGTCTGATAATAAAAATCTCCTGTGGAAACTGTCCACTCAAACGATGGATGCGATGAAAATCTTCACTCACGCTGAACCCACACATTCAAATTCATACCTCACAATCATAGCAACAGCCACAAATAGTTACACTTGCATACCCTCGAAATTTGCATTAAAAAGAGAAACTGACTATACGTATATCTCTTTTATCTTTCGAATAAAGAAAATATCGAAAACTATATAATAGTAAATATGCATGTCGAGAAGTATAATTATGGATAAAGAAGTGTAGACAAGTGAGAAGAAGTATAGAAGTATTCTTTTTCCGCTTGAAATAAAGGCATTTCTGTTCCACAAAATAATACTTCGAAAAACGAAAGCTACACTTTTGTAGTGTATTTCCAATTGTATACAACATTGAACTATATCTTGAGATAGAAAAAAAAACTAGATAGTTTTGCAAAAATTTCACAGAAGTGCCAATTTCTCACTTTTGCTATTGTCACACTATGTATTTTATGAACATATTGTTAATGAATAGCGCCACAAGCGGATCAGAAATAGGTACCACAATAGAGATTTTTCACAACAAATCTGAACCTATTAGTTTTTATAACTTCAATAGAATGAAAATTTCACTTAAAATCGAAAAATTGTACCCATTTTTTCGTATAAAAAATTATTTTAGGAACAAAAGACTGTACAGAGCTATAAAAAAAAACTTGATTTCTTTATCAAAAGGCTTTTAAAACGAAAATTATAGCAAACATATTTTTAGTCCGTTCGGCAAGCTTCATCTAACCATGTATAATAAATGACAAATAAATTCACTTCAACTTTTCAGCTTTTACACCTTACAAGCCTAATAGAAAAGAAATATCGATTATTTTTACATATAATTCTTTTTGTTTTAATCAGAAGAAATAATATCCGAGAAGGAGAGAGAAATGTCTGAAAAATACGAAGTTTTCATATTCTTCTATATCAATTCTTCAACATAACTCCTTACAAATGTATAAAAGGAAATATAATATTATACATCATACCATTAAATATCGATTATATATACATATTCATAAAAAGTAATTGAGCTTTTGTTTGTGAAGCCACTCTGGACTGTCAGAACCGCTTTCTTTTGAAGTCTATTCTTGTAATGATAGAATGCAATCTGAATTTTTGAAAACGCGTTCTGAAACGTTCTTGTTTTCCTGGATTCGATCTGGATGCTTTTTGATACAAAAGTAATGAGTTTCTATTAGGCTACTTCGTACATTTTATTATATACTTATATCTCTATTCATGACTAACAAGAAAGTCGAATTAGATATTTTTCTATGTCTTAACAATCATCTCGTTATAATCAAATTTTGGGATAACTAAGATATAATAGCGTCAATTTATATTTACTTTCAAGTTAATTTAGGCGTAAATTAAAGTCAAAAATTCATACTTTGCAATAAATTTGTATTAGTTGTATTGTATAATTTATTATATAAAAATTAAACTAAATTATTCTACTCTGTTTTGGAACTTGATGCAGGATATGTCTTCTATTTTTAATAACGAATTGCAAATAATTTAAATTCAAAATTCAATAAATTATCGATTATTTAAATTTAAATTTCTAATAGTTTAACTTAGGCAGAAATTAATTTGAAAGCAAATATAAATTGACATTCTTATTTTATCAGATGTGTAGACTTCCATTGATGCACAACTTTCACACGGTCAGTAAGAGGTATTCAGTTCAATGATTCACTGCCTTATGTATAGAAACATCCATTGACACAACCAGGATTGATTTTCCCATTAAAAACACTGGTTCCAACTGCATTCGAGAGAAGCATCTTTCTTACTTTTGACCTTACGTTATGGCTGTACTATGCAAGTTAGTAACAAATTAAGAAATTTAATTTTCTGGAACGATAATTCTGACCGATCGCATTGCATAGCTTAGCATTGCCTTTATATTCTAGACAGAGCCCTAATTTAAAAAAATCTTTGTTGTCATGTAATTAGATTTCGAGAAAATCAAAAAAATAAACGATAAAAATGTCGGCATCTATACTTATTTTTTTTTAGAATTTACTCTAGTGATGAATATACATTTATTCGGCTACTGAACCTGACTGAAAATAGTTAAAGTTGCAGTTTTGTCTGTGTGTTCTCTAGATATGTCGGTTTATGAGATATTTTTATTATAATATAAAATAAACATGTATGTGTGTTGTGTAATTGTCACTTGGCGGCGAAATAAACGATAGAAAAAAAGTAAACACGAAGATTTGTTCCAGTTAGTTGTTCCATAAAAGATCCAAGTACAACAGTCACGATTTTCATGTGCTTTTTATAATTATAATGAAACGCGTTCTCTTTTTCGATTTAGAAAGGTCGAAAACATATACTTTATTCATAAAAAATGTTTTCCTATAACTAAACATCGCTTCCTCATTGAATACATTCGAGTACGTTTTTGAATAACGAGTTTTTCCGAGTCATGAACGCGTTCCGAGATTGTATGGATGTGTTCTTCTTGAAGGTATACTCTGAGAAAAAATTCTTATTCACTAAGAATGAGGTCAATAAGAACGCATTCTTCTTGACAAGAAACAGGTTTCTCTTTCCCAAGAATAGGTTGGAGCGCGTGCTGCTATTTTGTGGAATTAGCCTGAATGCGTTCTTTTTTTTTCTCTGAACGTGTTCTTATCCAATAAATTGCGCTTTATAGTTTCAAGAACAAGTTCTTGGACGTTGTTTCATCACTATTTTTTCATCGGAAATAAAACATACTCTTTTATTAATATAAATTTCCTGTTTTTCAATCCTCTAGCTAAATTTCGTAAAAATAATTGGATCCTACTTGAATTCTAATTGTATAACTAAAAAAAAGGAATCTTGTTTTCTATTCTTAAAGAACCATGCTATCAAAACATAATATCATAAAGCACTTGAAAACTAAATCGTTCGAGTTCGTAAATTCAACAAACATTTTGCTTTTTGTTTTTCTTAAATACTATTAACGCCTTTCCATTAGTATAACTATAATGTGATTATCTACTTTAACTTCAGTCTTCTTTTGTACAATTTTTTTGTTACCTGTTACATTAGTGAAAAAAAGAAATTTCTAATCATTACTAAATCGAATCTACCGACTAGATCGAACTTTGACTAAAATTCTTATAGGTTTGTTTTCTTTTCACATATTATTTTGTTTTTTACAAATACGCTTTAAAATATAATTTATAAATATTCGAGAAGGAATTAAAGCTATGATTTTATTTCTGCTAAACTGATTTTGACTGGATTTTCACATGCATGTCTTATAGTTTTCTGATAATCGGCATGAAAATCCCAAGTTGTTCCTCCAATTGTCGGCATAATTCTATCTTTCCGACCAAATATTAAACGAAAAAATTTGATTAATTCTTTACGAAATGTACGAGATGTGAGTGTATATAAATAAAACGATGTAACTGGAAACAAATATAGCATTAATTCAGCCAGAAATGCAACAAATGCTTCAATAGCTAAATGTTCAATTGATCGATTAGGAATCGTTATTGAGATTGTATTGAATACTAAATTACATAATTGAGGAATTGTAAATATAATATAACAAATGATTTGTACGAATAATATATGAAGAACTTGTTGATCAAGTGGATTTCGTTGTTTACCACCTGATGATAGCTGTGCTCGTTTTTTATGTTTATCTGAGAGATTTTGACGAATACGCCATGCACATATCATCATAATCATAGCTGGTAATATACCACCTCCAATAATAACGTACAGACTATGATAAAGTGCTGCTGTCATATTACTTACAATACCACAGAATTTTCCTTTAATTTCATAGAATATAAGTCTATGAGAACAAATAATTGACCAAAAAATAATAATGATAATGATTATACGATATGCTATTTTCGGCTTAGCAAAATTTCTTAAATGAATTTTTTCTGAAGTTAATGCATAACGATCAATGCAAGCAAATGCAACGTACCAACGAGAAAGCATTAAACATATTTGAAATATATAACCACGTACTTTACAAAATATAAGTGATTGTATTTGTGGATCAGGATTATTGAGACTATACACGACTGGTCCAATGCCAACAATTAATGTCATTAAATGGTCAACAGATGCTGCAAAAAAGTCTAGAAAAAAAAACAATATACAATTGAAAACCAACACCGTAATTCATTAAATCTTAAAATATGTTTTGAAGATTAATGTTTTATCTGATAGAATCAATTCTAATATTGATGCTTACAAATAGAACAAGAATTTGATCGTAATTGTGGACGAGAGAAAATGATAAGATTGAGTAAACATCCGATGATACCAAGTACAAGCCATGTTGGATAAACGCACAGAGTTAGAATTCTTTGAACTATAGGAAGCGTATTGATCAAAGATAAAGACGATGACATTTTTATACGATATAACTGTACATAGAAAAGAAATAAAAACAGCAAGTTATGATGAAAATATTATTTGAATTATAATCAATAATTTATGATACTTGCCTGGTGAATGCGTATGAGATGAGAGTAGTTGGGTTAAAAAGTTGTATTTGATTTTGAGCAATAAATGCTTTTTTAAGAATATTAAAAGAACAGGTGTTTGAAAAGAGCAGGAAGTTATTGATATAATGAATGTATTTTAATCACTATATGGCAGACGTCATTAGTATGAAACATGTTTCTCACATATTTTTTTCACTTTTCTGAAAAATATTTTTAGTTCTTCATGGTAATTTTTTTGCTCACAGCTGTCATAACCATTCTCCTGAAGTGTTTCATCTTTAACACGTCATTCGTTGCTTATTACTGTTGGCAGTCTCTGTAGTCTATGTTTCACTTCCTTTTCTAGTCACATTCGTCTTATTCATCACACTGTTTTTCAGGCGACATAAGGATGTCACATAGCTGTAAGATACTTGCTCATGACTGGCTAATTATTCTTGAAAATCTTGCGATGACACAATGATAAAGAAAAGAAGTTTATCAAAATACAATAACTAGAATTTTTTCTGACATATAATCATAGTTTCCTTTTCATTTTAAGAAAAAGAATTATATAAACGAACCATCTTCTGAAAAATTAGTAATATTGTTAGAAAATGAAAGAAAGGACATCCAGGGCAATACTAAAGAATAGCTAATCAAAGAGCGTAATCCTCTTTGAAAATGAGCTCTAAAAGCAAATCTTTGAAATTAAAACGCGCTTCCTATACTATAGGGAAGGGGATACTAATTATTCAAATAAATTTGTAGACTTATTTTATGTGAACCTACTTATTATGATTATCTGATTTGTGTATTTTTTTAATTTATACATTGGTTTTTCAAAAAATGAAACAAATATATAATGTATCAGTGGATCAGAGAATAATTAATCTTGTTTGTTTTATTATCATCAGATGTTGTAGTAATTTTAATAAATACAAAACTTTTTTTTGTGATATACATATATAAATTTTCATGGAAGACTTTTCAAGATGAAAGAAATTTTTTCGAAAATATTTCTATTGGATGCAAACATATTCATGCATAATTTTCGTCCATACCAAATATTAATGCACCGAAAACATTACTTTAATAGTTAGGAGAGGTATATATAAAAAATTGTTTTTCCCACTTATGTTCATATGGCATAAAACAACATGCCGCTTGATAAATTTTAAAACTTACTATAAAATTGTCCAAATACGTTATAAAAATAAACTCATTTCTTTAGAAGTGTATTTTTTTTCTACATCATGTATTCTATATTTCAACATGTAATAGTTTCTATTCTTTTCATATAAAAAGTCAAGATATTCTAATATACTGTTTAAAAATACATCATCTTATACAGAAAAAATATAGACACAATAATGAAATTAAATACACTATCGGTCATAAATCATAGTATAACAAAAAATTAAAATATCTTCACTTCGATCATATAATGACTGCATACGAGTCAGTTTCGGTAGGAAATGATCAGAAGTCATCGGACAAATACATTGACATTACGGCTCGGAATACTGCTTTCATGTGCCCTTGATTTTCAGTGTTTTCCGGCTGAATATAATAATCTTCCTGATTAGTATAGACGAAATCCACTTACTTCCGGAGGTCGCAACCATCGGATTGGCATTAATTCAAAAAGGCTAACTTTTTGATGAGTGATAGATATGCATTCAAATTTTTTTTACATTTAATGAATGCAAGTAAATAGTACAATTAAGTAGTATTGTTGAACTCATTATTGAAATTACACCTATTGTCAAGTAAGAAAAACGCATGTTTACCATCCCAGGATGAAGATTAAGACATTTGTTAACGGGTGTGTGCGACCTTATACACTCGTATTTTGCAACGTATACGGTCTTATTATGTGACTCCAAAATTATAACCACATGCCGTCGTGTCGTATACGACATGCATTATAAGCTATTATATTTTTTTTTATTATGCTGAAAAAACTGTGATCCTAAGATCCTATCAGATTATAAGCTATTATATTAATAATTATAAGCTTCTTCTAACTGAATAGGCGAGACAATTTCGCTCCACTTTCTCTGTCTTATAAACATATGAAGTATTACACATTTATTTAATATGAGTGCTAACTGTTCAATCTGCTGTTCGGATTAATCTGAATAACGAAAAAAATTATTATTAAATAGAGGCTTAGTATTGAATTCAAAAAGCGGAGAGTTAAATGCTTGATAAGTGCAACTTAACTAATGATTAACTTATGACCACCTATGATTTTGCACGACAGCCGTTTACGTTATTTGTACTTGAATGTATGGCATCCGATACATTTATGATATATGCTAGTCGTATACGAAAACCGGTTGTTTTTACGTATTTAGTACTATACGGGATCTTTACGATAGTGTTTTTTCTGCCTACCGATATGGTGACCGTTGAGCGAAAAACATCTAAGCGAACGGCTTTTCAGCGAAAAAAAATGCGCGAAAGATGCAACGGCAAAAAGATTTTCGCCCTCACCCTCACTTTTCGTGCATGCCCTCATCAAGGAAAATTCTTTCGCTAAATTGCCTTTCGCTCTTTTTCTTTTCGCTGAAAATTTTCGCTCAAAAAGCTTTCGCTCATTTGCCACCATCCCCTGCCTACCGTGCTACAATAATTTTTAGTTGTTACCTGAGGGAATGAAAGAATTAATTAACACACCTTGATAAATCGTATAACGATGACACAAATAAAAGCACATTGAAGCCCTTTAGGAATATAATCGGCAATTTCCTTACAAAAAGCCATATTACATGTTTGAACGTTTAAAATATCGTTGTAACTTCTTCTTTTCACCATCTTATGTAATAACTGAAAATTATCTTCGAATGTTACACATGTGTTTTTCTTACTTGACAATCAGTAAGATTTTCTTAATGAACTGAAAAATAGTGCTTAGAGTAGTATTTGTTTCATATCATTCACATAAACAGGAAAGTTTGAATAAACTTCGATGACTAACAAAAAAAAATCAGTTCTTCTGAATGAATCGAAATGGAGAAATTCAATTTTTCATCGTAGTATTACAGTAAAACCTCTCTAAACTGAACACTGTCTGGACCGACGGAAAACGTTCAGTATAACGGGGTGATCATATTAGAGGGGGGGTAAGCAAAAATACATCTAAACATTGA